TGGCACCGGAATCGCATATTAGTTTCCAACGAGTCAGCCGTTCCCCCTTTTAAAACATTTACAATACAGTAGTTATTAATTAGCTATTAAATGAAATTTAATATAAATTATTTGATTCACTGCTTAAAGAGACAATGTTTTATATTTGAGAATACTTTTGGACACCAGGTTTCAGTGGACAGTCGAAATATGTCTGGCAAACGTATTCATCTGATATTGGGTACCAACTGCCCAACAGTGCCTTCATTTCCAGATTACATGTCTTTCCCTCATAAACTGAACCAGTTTAATTATTGATATTATTAACATCATATTCAAAATATATTGGAACTAATCATATAAGTTAGTAATAACTGGGATGCCGTCCGTAACTGACACTGAAGTGCCCCTGGTGAATGCACAGGGCTCGGCATCGCACGGTGTTATATTTAGCTATTTATGCTATATCAGCTATTTGGTTTATTATAGGTCACGTGACGTAGTACGTATCCTAGGCATTACGGTCAGGTACACAGATAATACAGAGTGTGAGTTAGGGTGACCAGGTTTCCAAGCCATCACTGACCGCTATGACATCGTCAGTAGACATCATTTTTAATGATTTATTGCCAATTTATCTCTTGCTAAACTATTAAGCAAATTTTACCTATTTTAGCACCAATATCCTATAGATAATTAAAAAAATATATGTTACTTTGTATTGACATGCTCATTTTAGTGGTTTATTGCAGGTCACGTGACGTATTAGGTATCCTAGGCATTACGGTCAGGTACACAGATAATACAGAGTGTGAGTTAGGGTGACCAGGTTTCCAAGCCATCACTGACCGCTATGACATCGTCACTAGATATCATTTTTAAAGTTTTATTGCCAATTTTCCCTTGCTAAACTATCAAGTATATTTTACCTATTTTAGCACCTATATCTTATAGCTATTTCAAAAATATATGCTATTTTGTATTGACATGCTCATTTTAGTGGTTTATTGCAGGTCACGTGACGTATTAGGTATCCTAGGCATTACGGTCAGGTACACAAATAATACAGAGTGTGAGTTAGGGTGACCAGGTTTCCAAGCCATCACTGACCGCTATGACATCGTCAGTAGACATCATTTTTAAAGTTTTATTGCCAATTTTCCCTTGCTAAATGATTGTGAGAGATATAAGTACTGTTGCGGACAAAACAAGTCAAAGACTGGACAAAAGGGTGCGAAGAAGGGGTCGGACCCAAAGCCACCCAATGCTGAGACACATCCAAAGACACCCATCCGGACAAACCCCTGTCAGACAAACCCCACCAGAAATACCCGCCCACACCAGCACTCGGCGCACAGAATCATAACAATTGACTCATAATTACATACAAAGAATGAAGAGTTTGAGAGATAAAAGTGATTCACAATAAAAAGTAATCAGTTTTTCATTGAGTTATTTGTTATGAATTTCCATAAACTTATTCTGTATTTCATTCACAACTTTACTGTTTATTACTTTATAAATAAAAAGTTATTCTTTCAGTTAACTATTATTATAAAGTTTTCTAAAAACTTTGTAAAAAGTTTATTTATATTGCCATAAAAATGATAACAATTAGAAAATAAAAATTAATTTTAGATTCTCTTCATTGAAATCAAACCCCATTTGAAAAGCAAATAAAATGTGGCGAAGAATCAAACGAAACGTGAGGAATATTGTCCAAAAAGTGGTCAACTTTTCCATTAAGAATAGGAAACGAGAATTCGATGAATTCGGTGACGAAGAGTCGGACACTTATTCACGGATTATTCACGAGTGGAGTCGTCAGCACAACCGGTGCCCCGTCTGTCGTGAGGTCTACACCAATATCTTGCACCACATCCGCGGCCCTCACGACTACGACGAGGAGGCGGTGGCCGCGCCCACCGAGGAGGGGATGGGTCTGTTCATTGTAATGGGCGACGCGGGCCTATTGATTACGCCGCCCGACTCCGGCCTCTACATCATCGACCCCCAGCCCACCCCATACGACGTGCGACACAATATACTGTTTTTAGGTCCGCAACAGCTCTTCGTCCTCCACAACATCAACCCTCAGATGGCGATCGTAAGGGTCGACCGACTCGAGCAGGTGCTCCAGGAGATGAACGCCCGGCCCCATCACCCCCACCACGGCTCGCACCGGTTCCTCAGACACCATCCCCCGCACCGACAGGGCTGACACATACACCATAGACTTATCGGCGATCATTAAGTTCAGTGTTGACATGATTTTCAATATTATTTATCGTGTGAAAGTCGTGGCAATAAATTACACTAAATATCGCACAATATTCTTATGATTTATAACAGGAATTCCTATATTACAAGAATTTATAGCATTTTGTATGTTAAGCATTGCATTCATAAGTTGTGGCAAAAGTTAAGCCAATCATGTGTTGCAAATACAGTGCCTTTAATAGGGTTCCCATAGAAACCAATTGTTTGTTGACATGAATTTCATGTGAAAACGTGTCATAAAGTGTCAACAAATCTGTCAAAACTTGTAAATTGTTTTGCATTTTATATATTAATTACTTGTTATGGTATTTATTAAGTGATAGTAAAGTACAGTATTGTATGTCTTCGTGGACACCATCAGCACTGCTGAAGATATTGCGAAAAGTGTTAGCGATGCAAACCACGAGTGAACGCCTTCGGGAACCGTTTCGGGTGACCGGCGAAGTGGTCCATGGATTCGGTCGCGGATCCAAACAGTTAGGTATTCCCACCGCTAATATCGACCCAAATGTGGTGCAAACCATCGATAATCAGCTCAAGAGTGGTATTTATTACGGTTTCTGTCAATTGGTGTCAACACCGGAGCCGGTGATCAACGGCGAGACACATGCGGCCAATGGTGTGGACAGTACTCCACGACCTCTGAGTCCTATCTATGGGATGGTATGCAGTCTGGGATGGAATCCGCAGTTCAATAACACCATCCGTTCCCTCGAAGTCCATATTCTGAGCAAATTCAGCGATGATTTCTACGGATCCACTCTTCGTGTGGCCATTTGTGGCTACATTAGAGCCGAACAGAAGTTTGAATCATTGGATCAGTTGATTGAATGCATTCACAACGACATCAAAGTCACGGAACAAGCGCTCGAAGATCGCAGCCAATGGTCGCGTGTATTAAATGGCGAGTTCTTCGGTAATCAATGATTAGTTGCGGTGATAGTCGCCATCAATTGGTTTAGTGATAGTAACGTAGATCTGATGCAATCAAAAGTATTATTAAATTGTATTGTTTTGTTACAAGACTTTTGTATTTTAAATGGTATTTATGTTTTTGAATAAGAGGTTTATTTTAATGAATAGGACTTTGACTTAAACTGAAAATAAATAAATCATTGAATGATTTAACTTTAGTTTTATTAGTGAATCAATTGACAAAACTTTGCCAAACCTTTAGCCGAGGCGGCGGTCAAGACATTGACATTGATTTGGTTGAGTTGTGTCCAGTGGTTGGCGTATGAGCTCTGACTCGAGATGTCATGACTTTTGCACCATTTGTTCACTTTATGGCAGATCTGGTGAAAGCAATACTTCAACCAAATTATGTTAGTTTTGGGCCAAAACTCCTGCCATTGGTTTCCTGTGATTTGGTTTTGCTTTAAATAGACTTTTTTGAGTTCAGAGTTCTTATAGCCGTCTAAATTGAGAAATGATAAGTCGTTGTAAACACATCTCACGACCTGTTCATCACTTTTGACGGCAATCTTGAGATGAGTTCTCGAGAATGTGGTGTCGATTATAACCACTTGAATGCCATTCACTTCTATAGAGAACTTCTCTCCATTCAACACATATTCTGCATATTTTTGTGCCGTTTGTCGGATCAGTACGTTAGAGCAGTGGAGGTCCCGATGCTCGAAGCCTATGGCCTCCTCGGCCACGGCTAAGGCGGCGACCAATTGTAAGGCAATACTGAGTCCTTTGGTGGGCGACAAAGCGTACACTGAATCCAATTCTTTGCCTCCAAATGTTTGCTGAGATATAAAATACTTGTATTTATTGTCATTTCTATGGTTTGACTCTTTGCTGGCTTTGGATGTATTGAAGAGCGAAGAGTGACTCCAAACGTAATAACTATTCGTAATGTTTGTGAAGTTTTGGCAGTAATTGAGTGCAGAATCGATGGGAATTGCCTTCAAATCACTCAAAAGTCGGGAATTGATTGCATCGGACGCTATGTTTGACACGTTTTGGACGACTATTCCCTGACTGTTGCGACGGTTTAGTAGAGATATCTTGAAGACCACTGAATCTCCGTTTATGTCGTCAACTCTGAGGACTTCACTATAACATCCCGACCACAAGACACTCATTTGGCGGTAGATTCTGTTGAATACAAAAAGTGGTTAAACTTTTGAACACTTTTAAAGTGTTTTATATAAGACTTACTCTTTGGTGATAATACTCTCCAAACGAATCACTTCTTTTTGGCCACAAATTGAGAGCAGTTTTTGTTCGCAACGATCGCTAATAATGGCGTCAATGAGACTCTTTGAGATCCAATTGCCATCCACTTGAAGAACTATATCATTGACCGAGTGTTTGAAAGCAATCCGTGAATAAGTGTCCGACTCTTCGTCACCGAATTCATCGAATTCTCGTTTCCTATTCTTAATGGAAAAGTTGACCACTTTTTGGACAATATTCCTCACGTTTCGTTTGATTCTTCGCCACATTTTTTCCGTGAATAAGTGTCCGACTCTTCGTCACCGAATTCATCGAATTCTCGTTTCCTATTCTTAATGGAAAAGTTGACCACTTTTTGGACAATATTCCTCACGTTTCGTTTGATTCTTCGCCACATTTTCTTTGCTTTTCAAATGGGGTTTGATTTCAATGAAGAGAATCTAAAATTAATTTTTATTTTCTAATTGTTATCTTTTTTATGACATTAAAAATAAACTTTTGACAAAGTTTTTAGAAAAACTTAATAATAATATTTAACAGAGAGAATAACTTTTTATTTATAAAGTAATATACAGTAAAGTTGTGAATGAAATACAGAATAAGTTTGTGGAAATTCATAACAAATAACTCAATGAAAAACTGATTACTTTTTATTGTGAATCACTTTTATCTCTCAAACTCTTCACTCTCTGTATGTAATTATGAGTCAATTGTTATGATTCTGTGCGCCGAGTGCTGGTGGGGGCGGGTATTTCTGGTGGGGTTTGTCTGACAGGGGTTTGTCCGGATGGGTGTCTTTGGGATGTGCCTCAGCATTGGGTGGCTTTGGGTCCGACCCCTTCTTCGCACCCTTTTGTCCAGTCTTTGACTTGTTTTGTCCGCAACAGTAATTATATCTCTCACAATCATTTAGCAAGGGAAAATTGGCAATAAAACTTTTAAAATGATGTCTACTGACGATGTCATAGCGGTCAGTGATGGCTTGGAGACCTGGTCACCCTAACTCACACTCTGTATTATCTGTGTACCTGACCGTAATGCCTAGGATACCTAATACGTCACGTGACCTGCAATAAACCACTAAAATGAGCATGTCAATACAAAGTAACATATATTTTAAAAATTAGCTATAGGATATTGGTGCTAAAATAGGTAAAATTTGCTTAATAGTTTAGCAAGAGATAAATTGGTAATAAATCTTTTAAAATGATGTCTAGTGATGATGTCATAGCGGTCAGTGATGGCTTAAAGACCTGGTCACCCTAACTCACACTCTGTATTATCTGTGTACCTGACCGTAATGCCTAGGATACCTAATACGTCACGTGACATGTAATAAACCACCAAAATGAGCATGTCAATACAAAGTAACATATATTTTTGAAATAGCTATAAGATATAGGTGCTAAAATAGGTAAAATATACTTGATAGTTTAGCAAGGGAAAATTGGTAATAATACTTTAAAAATGATGTCTACTGACGATGTCATAGCGGTCAGTGATGGCTTGGAGACCTGGTCACCTTAGCTCACACTCTGTATTATCTGTGTACCTGACCGTAATGCTTAGGATACGTTATACGTCACGTGACCTGCAATAAACCACTAAAATGAGCATGTCAATACAAAGTAACATATATTTTTGAAATAGCTATAAGATATAGGTGCTAAAATAGGTAAAATATACTTGATAGTTTAGCAAGGGAAAATTGGTAATAATACTTTAAAAATGAT